TCCAAATCTTGACTATTGTAAATAATGCTGCATTGAACATAGGGGTCCATATATTCTTTCTAATTAGTGTTGTGGGTCTCTTCAGATATATTTCCAGAAGTGGAATCACTGGATCATGAGGTAGTTCCATTTTTAATTTTTTGAGGAACCTTCACAGTGTCTTTCTTAATGTTTGTACCAGTCTGCATTCCTACCAACAGTGCACAAGGGTTTTCTTTTCTCCACATCCTTGCCAACATTTGTTCGTTAATTTATTTTTGATAGCCATTCTGACAGGTATAAGGTGGTATCTCATTGTGGTTTTGATTTGCATTTCTCTGATGATTAGTGATGTTGAGCAATTTGTCCTATGTCTGCAGAATGCCATTACCCAAAGATATGTTTATTGATTTTAGAGAGTGGGGTACAGCAATGTGAAAAACATCAATCAGTTGCCCTCTGTATATACCCTGACCTGGGAACTGAATCCACAACCTAGGCACACACTGACTAGGAATCAAATACGTAGTCTTTTGGTGTATAGTATGATGCCTCAACCAACTGAGCCACCTGGCCAGGATCAGAATGCCTTACTCTAGATTTTCTTGCCACCTCTCTGGTTGCTCTTGCTGTCTTTTGTAGGTCTTACTCTTCCCCCCACTTTTTAATGTTGGATACCTAAGGGCCAGGCCTGGGTTTTCTTTACTTATATTCACTCCCTTAGTGATCTTATTCATAAACAAGATTTAAAACCCATCTATAGAGTAATGACCTTCAAATTTATAATTCCTGATCAGATCTTTCTTTTAAATTCTAGATTTACTTACCAAGTTGCCTATTCAATGTCTTCAAATGGCTACTTAATACATATATCAAATGTAACATGTCTGAAACCCAAGTTCTGAGCTTTCCTCTTAAGTCTGTTATACGTGCAGTTTTTCCATTCCAGTTAATAGCAATGCCATACTTCTCAGACACGTCAAATCATACAACTAAAACAATTTAGTAACTGGCTTAGTGTCCTTTATTCAAGGGGAACAATTCATGGATTAGGGGAGTACAGTGCCTAACAAGCAGTGGAGCATTCTTCCTGAGGAATTTTGAGCAAGAGCAAGTTTTATAGAATGTTAAAAGAGGCAATATGGAAACAAGGCATGATTGGCTAGGAGGTCAGGGATTTCCTTATAAGGCTAGCAGGTCCTTTTTTTAGTTAAGGTTAGCTAGCTAGCTGTGTTGGAGGATTGTGATCATTTTCTTGACAGTGAGGCATTTCCCATATATGCAGGTTGACTTAGGTTTAGATTTATGATGTGGGCTGGGCCACTAGGGTGGCCTCCATTTTCTGGGTCCCAATGTACAAGTTAAGTTTTTTAGAGACATGCTAACTACTACTCATTACCTCCATTGCTGCTACCCTGGTCCAAGTCATTATCATCTCTCACCTTGCCTCCTAACCCAACACTCAGCTTTAACCCTTGCCGCTTGTGATGTATTCTTAACACATCAATCAGGGAGGTGTTAAAATGGAAATCAGATCCAGTTACTTCTTGCTCAAAAAATTTTAATGGTTCTCCATCTCTCTTATTTTGAAGCCAAAAGTCTTTGTAATGGTCTTTACAGCCCTGCAAGATCCAACCCTCTATTTTTCTGACCTCATCAGTGCTTTCCTCTGTCCTTAATTTGCTCTACCCTGAGTACATCAAACATCCTTCTGTGTTTGGATTAGGGTCTTTGGAATGGCTGCTTCCTCTGCCTGCAATACGCTCCCCCCACATATTCCATGGCAAACTCCTATTGGCTTCCCCACGGCCCAAGCCCATTTGTGTGAGAAGAGTACCTGTGAAAGAATTAGTTGTGCTGTAAGGAGTGCATGATAGAGGGGCAGAAGTATGGCAAATGTTGAAATCCTCTCTGTGAAAAAGAGCCAGTGGGTGAGACAATCGGAGATTTACTAGCAGTTGGTGAGTTCTGAGTAACAATGTAATTTCTATTGTGAGTAATAATGAAAGAATTAAAGCAGAAGATACTTTGTAGCACATTAATAGAAATGAGGCAGCCTTCATTTCACCATTAGAAACATTCATAAATCATGGTTCATAATTTGAAGGTCCCTACACTTAATGAGGCATTCTGTTTTGTAGATAGTAGGTTTAGTGTCCTGCTGCTTAGTTGTGACTTAATGATATGCTCTTCAGTTTAACAGAGAATAGGTCAAAGAACTGTTTATCATTTTTTGAACCTATTATAAAAGCTTAATAGAAAATATTTGCTTATTAAATTCCTTCTTTAATTGAGTATTAGGGGGAAATATTTCTGTAGTTAATCTTGTATGTTTCATAAAACAGGAGAACCAAAGTATTTTTCCTGCTATTTTGCCATAACTGATTTCAGAGCCTAACCACTATTTAATTTACCTCAAATACCTGTTTACTCTAGTCCTCTGTACCTTTCTGATTTTTAATGAAAGGATTTATACTATGTTTAATTTTATAAATTGGCGAAATTGCTCATGGAAAGAGACTTAATTGACATTATAAAGTATCCCTTTATGAAGAGGAAATTATGATTCTCCATGTCATAGGGAAGAAAAGATTTGTATGTGCTTTTTATTGTTCATTCATATTTGTTTGTACATCTTTTCCTCAGAGGGAAGAGTAAATGAAGAAATGAGGGTTATAGGAAAATAATAACAGTACAGAAAGATTAGTACATAAAGTGTATGCCATAGGATCACTAATCTGAATGAATTTTTCATTAACCAACTATGTACATAAGGTAAAAACAAACTAGTTATTCAGGGGAGAAGCACAGCTAATCTTGGTATTAAATTTTGAATGAATATCCTCTGTGGGTCTTTAACAAAAATGCTGTGTGGTAAAGTAGGTACCTGGGACAAGATAGTACAGTAACTTTTACGATCAACTATGTTTGTAAATGTAAGAAGCATCATTTGCTTTCACAAAAGTTCAATATTAGTTAGTGATTCCTAAACTTTTTTGAGTCATAAACCTCTAACATTTTAAAAAAGATTTTATTTATTTATTTATTTGTAGAGGGAGGGGAAGGGAGGAAGAAAGAGAGGGAGAGAAACATCCTTGTGTATCTTTTGCCTCTTGTGTGCCCCCTACTGGGGACCTGGCCTGTAACCCAGGCATGTGCCCTGACTGGGAATCAAACTGTTGAGCCTTTGGCTTGCAGGCTGGCACTCAATCCACTGAGCCACACCAGCTAGGGCAAAGCTCTTTAACATTTGTACATACATGAATTTGCTAAACATGTAAATTTTAAACTCACCTCAAGAGATTTTGATCCAGCAGGTCTGAGGTAGGTTTAAATAATCTGTGTGTCTACCCCCATCCTAGGTGATTTTGATGTAGGTCCCTGTCAGACTATATGTTTAAAAACTACTGGGCTTATAATTTTCGGGTGTTTGCAGATTCTTTTCAGTCAGTACATGAACCTTCTGTGATTCAAGTGAACAACACCCTCAACAACACTGATATAGTGAAAACAATAATGAGTTACTTAGGGGTGTGTGATATTGGTATATTAGATAATTAATGTTTTTTGTTCAAATTTATTGGCAAAAGGAAGTCACATGGCCATATTTCAAAGGAAGCAGTACTAATGACTAGTACATATGATATCTTTTTATTTTTTAGTAACATAATGAGTTGATTTTTTTCTAATATTGAATATTGAATATTTTCTAATATTCATATCCTGGAGTAAATCATGTATGACTATGAGGTATCATTCTGTTGATATGCCACTTGTTTAATTTACTGTTAACATTTTTGTACCTATGTTCTCCAGTTAGATTGGTCTTGAGTTTCCATTTCTACTTCTCACCTTATTGATATCAGTGTCTTCTTAGCATTATAAAATGAAGTGGGTATCTTCCTGGGGTCTCAGTTTTCAGAGTTTGTAGAGATTTTAAATACACTTTTTGTGAGAAGTTTAGGTGATCTATAAAATGAGAGGCCATATTCTTCACACACAAAACCACCTTCACTTCTCACATCAGATGCATATTTGGGGGTTGCCAGAACCAGCAAGAGGTTTCATAATGCATTAGAAAAACTCAGATCTTACTGTAAGCTGCACTATTCATGGGTATGGTTTATAATAAAGAAAGGAAAGTTTAAGACTCTGGCTGGTGTGGCTCAGTGGGTTGAGTGCCTGCCTGCAAACTGAAGGGTCACCAGTTTGATTCCTGGTCAGGGCACATGCCAGGGTTGTGGACAGGGTCCCTAATTGGGGGAGTGTGAAAGGCAAGTAATCAGTGTTTCTCTCTTGCATGTTGATGTTTCTTTCCCTCTCATTCTCCCTCCCTACCCTCTCTCTAAAAAATGTACAAAAGCTTTAAAAAAAAAAACACACACACAATGAAAGGAAAGATTAAGATCAGCTAAAGGAAGAGACACATAGGGCAAAAAGTCCAGGCTGGTTTTGAACATACAGCTTCCCTTGTCCTCTCCCGTGTAGTTAGGCCTCATTTTTCTCTTTTCCTCAATGTGTGACAGTGCATATATGAGGGGGGACCCAAAAAAACCCAGAATTTATTTATAAAAAATTGTGTATTTATTCTTACATGTTTAAACTTCAGTACTTTCAAAGTACTCTCCATTTGATGCAATACATCCATTGAAACGTTTTTTTCCACTGCTCAGGACTACACAGGTATTGTTAATTCCCTCCCTGAATCACATTGTTAGATTATCCAGTATGTCCCAAGGTCCCCAAGTTTCCAGGGGCCCAGAGTCTATCTATTCGAAGCCAAGGGCAAAGATCTTCACACTGGACAAGACCAAATTCTTTATGATACAGTTTGACAATTGATTTTTTTTTAATGGTTGTCTTCCTGTGATCCTTGGTACCAGATTAAGTTCATAGGGATTCTAGTATGGAAACCTGATTCATTTACATTTTTCTTGCTATCTCTTAAAAGATTAAAATAACAGTTTTGACTTAACTGCATTTAAATTAAAATATTGTTTATCCTTTTTTTTTTATCAAAGAATAAAGGTTCTCTTCAGTTTGAAGACAAATGGGATTTCATGCGTCCAATTGTTTTGAAGCTTTTACGCCAGGAATCTGTTACAAAACAGCAGTGGTTTGATCTGTTTTCGTAAGTAATCCATTAATTCTAACTTTTTGTTAACAAAAGGAAATTTTGGTCATGCATTTATATATCCAAATGGAATGTTTACTCTAGGTTGATCTGTTTACTTTTTTAAAAGTATTACTACCTTTGTTGGGGGTCCTCAGGACCATCCATAGTTTCAGTGATTTGCAAGGAGGACTCATAGGACATTCTTACAGCTATGATAATATTACAACACAAGGATACAAATCCAAATCAGCAAAGGGGAAAAGGCATATATATCGAGTGAAGTCTGAGGAAAAACAGGTACAAACTGCCAGGAGTACTCATAGAGCTCATAATTTCCCCAGCAACAAGATTGACAACCTATGTGATGTGTTGTCTACTAGGGAAGCTCACTGGAAACTCAGTACCTGGGGTTTTTATTGGAGGCGGGTCCCCTAGGCAGCATCTGCCTGTCATGTACCAAAATTTCAGTCCCTCAGAAAAAGAGAGGTGTTTAGTATAAACCATACTCTTTATACAGATTATTAGGCACTGTTAGGTATTCTTATCATTTCAGGAAAGTTTTATGTCAGTGTAGGGAGCTGTTGACCATTTAGGTTCTCAGATGCCAGCCAAGGCCAAGAAGGCTTTTTCCAAGGAATACAATCCCAGGTCTGCTGTGTTAACTGGTGGCCTTTGGCCAAATGTTTTTGAAGGCAAGACCAACCTGTAGTATTGATTTCAGTTAGACCTTTTAGAGGTCCTGGAAGTAGCTAGTTAAAATAAAACCTGTTAACGAAGAGGTTTATCTTAGAAAACTAGGTGGCTTTCTCCTTCAGTTTCTGTATGGACCTGTACATGGCCTGAGGTATCGGTTTAGGCAAGTACAATCTGGCTGATAAATTGATGCAGACCTGAGCACTTCCCAGGGTTCCAGCAGTGTCATGATAGGCTACACACATAAAGAAGTAAAGCCTCAGATGGTATACATGGTACCCTTGGAAACAAATAGTTTACAGTTGTTAGGGAACCCCAACCAAGACATATACTGGCCAGGTAGTATAGGTTCTGATACTATAGGGCCCCCACAGTTTGCCTTCTTGGGGCCTTTCTTTGTAGAGTTCCTAATCCAGTCAGTTCATTTTAGGCCTTGATTTCAGGTGGACTGCCTGAAGGCAATTGATCCCTAACAGTTTCACTTATCCATGACACAGTTCATTTGCCTCACTAGTGCGGATGACATTTAGAGGTGTTCTGTGTGAAAAGTGTAGGAGTTGAGTTGCTCCCTGCCGTCTCAGAGCTCTGTAGGTGTGATTGGAAGCTTGGCAGACAGTTTGGATTGAATGCATTCACAGCAGTGTGGAAAGTCAACACCAGGAGTTTTTTTGTTTTTGTTTTTGTTTTTTTTTTTTTCAGAAAGAGGGGAAAACCTTAAAGAATAGTTCTGAAAAATAAAAATCATTAATATCCTTCTCGCTCCTCTGATGCTGGGTTTTATTTTCTCTCCCTTATAAATCAGTATGTCCAATTCAGTAATAAAAACTATTCATTTTTTTCCCAGTTACCCAGACCTGCAAGAGGAACAAAAGCATCTATACAGAAAGACAGTTTTGTACAATCTAACTGTGAAGATATATCATGTTTAGAAATTGGTCTGGATGAAATCCCAAAGTTTCAAAAACTTTCAAAATAGGGTTATGTCACCTCACACCCCTTTGTTCTGAATACTTCTTTAGTGAGCAACCTGGTAAAGATCAGTTCCTCTGGAGACAGCTGTGTTTAATAATCAAGTTTTCTTACTAAGGTGTGTGTATAAGGAGAGGTGAGGTGAATGAAAGAGAAATAGAGGCAGGTTATTAATATATTGTTGAAAATTGGAACTAGTCCAGAAAGCTGAACACCAGTTTATAGCAGTGAGAGATCCATAGAGGGATTGAGAGTCCAGTGTATGAGGAGTGAGTAGAGTGATCCTCTCCCATCTTGCAGCTTTTGTCAGTAACCACAAGTTAGGCATGTATTTATTTAGTCTCTATATCAGATATATTGAACCAAACAACCACCTGACTTCAGATGGCCCATCAGAGAATAAGCCCTTTTCTGTGGGTATTCCAAGTGATTCAGATGGTCCAACCTGAATGTGTGATGTTTTCAGTTTGTGGCTCTACCAAGTGTCTTAAATCTTTAGCAGTCCTCAAGTCAAAGTCATGTTCATTGAGCATATGCCTGCTGTAGCTCCGTGCAGCTTGTGTTGAGGTTTAAGCAGCCCAATACCAGACATTATCAAATTTTAGCCTAGATTCAGATCCACATAATTAGGGTCTGTGAATTCAGAATTCAAAAAAAAGCCAATGACTTTTCTTCAGAGTCAGCAAAGCCAGGATGTGGCAGAACAGACAGTCATGTTCCAAGTCCAAGTGACAAGACTTTTCTAAGCCTATTTTATTTTGGACTCATTCTTAGAGTTCAAATCGATCCACTCAAAAACATGCACTTCAGACTGGAAGATCATTGGCCTCTAAGGATCAGACATCTGATTTCAAAAGAGCGTAGTAACAACTAAAAGTTGCTTTTTTAAAACTCTAAAAGTGCATTGCCAGCTGAAGATTTTCTGTTTTCATGTTGTCTCCTTTTTCTCAGAGACCTCAGTAGGTAAAAATAACAGTAAATACCATTCACTACAGAGATTTATTCTGCTTCCCATACTTAAACAGTTTAAATTCCAGTCCCTTCACCAGCAATAAAAAGCAAGGAAGTTGTGTCTCACTTTTTTCCCTTTTCAAAAAATTTTGGGTTTTATTGTATTTTTTCCATTACCATTTATCCCCCCATACCCTCTTCCACCTCCACCCCTGCTACAGTCACCATCACTAATTTTTTTTTGCAGTTTTTCCTGAGTGATATGATCCCTTTAGCATTTATGAGAGTACAAACATATAATATTTTATATATTTATCATATATCCAGATGTGATAGCCACAGAATACAAAGCTATCTTTTTAAACTTTTCCTGCCTCTTTATACTAATTACAAATTTACTTAAACCCAGTCGTAAAATTCAGCATTTATAACATTAACATTATATATGTTAATACTGTAATAAGAGATATGGAGGGGTTGATGCAGCAGCAACATTTAGGCTGAAGAAACAGTTGGAGTGGTTTCCTCTCCTTTGGTTTATCTAAAACTTTCTTCATCCCTGGGATCTAATTTAACTATTATATTTCCTCATGCTTGGAGGAGAGAGCAACACAACGTTTAACATCTGTGGTCTACCCAAAGCCTGTCTTTGGGACCTTTAGGGCATTTTCTCCTCCTACTTGAAGGTGAGAACAAAAACTAAAGGCATCACCTACTTTAGTCTGATGGCCAAAAGCAGCCAGGGAATTAAGCGAGCCAATTCTCCTGGGGTTAGAGCTATTACTTTTAAATTTCATAGGTAGCTTTTCCCTCTCACAACTGGTACCAACTCAGCTGCTGTTGCATAGCCACCCAAGCAGGAAAGTTTTGTGATCCTACCATTTCATCCTTCCCTTTCCCAAATAATGCTTTCACTCTGTTTCAATGAGTAGGAGATTTCCTAGTGAATCCCACTTCTAACACCACCATGTCAGCAGTCTCAAGACCACCCCGGGTTCAGAGATTGCTAGGAATACTCATAAGATTCAGCATATAGTTGTATTCATGGCTATGATTTATTACAATGGAGGATACATAACAAGATGCCATGAAGATGCATGTGGCAAAGTCTAGGGGAAACCAGGCATCTTCTCCCAGTAGAGTCACACAGGATATACTGAACTCCTTCAGCAGCTAATTGTTAAAACACATGTGGAATCTTGTCTACCGTGAAAGCTCACTAAAGACTCAATGCCTATGTTTTTTACAGGGGTTAGTTACTTAGGCCCTCTGCCTGACAGAAACCAAAATTCCAGACTCCTAGACAGAAGCAAATGTTTAATATAAGTCAGATTTTTTACATAGAAGTATAGGTATAGTAAGCCATTCTTACCGGGAAATGGTGAGAACTTTACAAAAATTCAAATTCCCAGATGCCTTCTGAGGGTCAACTTTGCAACTATGTCTTCCTAAGGATAGCTCTCTCAGACCAGCTATGATTTGTGTGTGTGTGCACTAGTGAAATACTCTATCAATGAGTTGTAAATGTGTGACTGAATAATTTATAAATAAACATTAAGCTGTTATGCTCAGTGTTTTCTCTTTATTACATAAAAAAATCTAATTTCCCTAAATAATATAGAACTTGTTGCATAATATTAATTAACCTACATCCACAATTCTGCCTTTTGATAAATTAGTACTCATTGAGAAACAGCAGTGACCTTTTAAAACTTCAAAGCATTTGTATATGCATATATTTTTCTTAAATTATTTAATTAAATATAAGTGATGTGTTGGATGTGGTAGGGTTTGTTTATATTTTATTTTTGCCAATTTGTGTTGATGATATGATTTATCACCTAGAACAGGGGTGTTAAACTCATGTTCACCAGGGGCCATGTCATCCTTGCAGTCGCCTTCAAAGGGCTGAATGTACTTTTCGGACTGTATAAATGTAACTACTCCTTAACTAGGGGCAAGGAGCTCTATATTCGGCCCTTTGAAGGCAACCGTGAGGCTGATGTGGCCCCCAGTGAACATGAGTTTAGCACCCCTGACCTAGAATAATGCTTATTCTCTGTGCACTCCTGACTGGGAACAGGCACATAGTGTGATGCTATTGTTTGCTTAAAGTATTATTATAAAGAAATAGTCAGTAACCTTATACTTGCTATAGTTAGTGGTCTCAACATATTGTCTTTAGAAACCTTGATCTCCTTGGAATTACCCAACATTGGTTAATAGGTTGCCCTTTTAGGATTTCTGTATATCTTTTCCTGCCATCAACAAAATGGTAAGACCTACATTAATTAAAACTATTCCAAACTTTAGCCTGTTTAATCATATTAATAACAGAGGTTGCTTATATCTAAGTCTGATGTATCAGTATTAAACTACATTGAGTATTGCTTCCTTTTTCT